TTTGTGTAGACATGTGTTATGGCAAATATTACGTAGACCAGATGTAGACTCAATGTCCCAACATACCTATCACCCAGACTTAGCCTGAGTCAACATAGTCATTCAAACCTATAGATCGATAGTCGATTTGGTTTGGGCCAAACATCCATTACTCTCTGGATCAGCAATGTATTTTTAGTCTTTGGAGAGAACTTTTGTAAATGTAATTTGTCCTATTTGAGGTGGGAAGCAGGAAATTCCAAATTCACAGTCAGAATTTTCAGCTAGAAGCCCCCATTAAGTTGGTCTTACCACCAAAACACTGTACTACCACTGCTGTGTATTAGTAACTTGTTTAACACACCACATACAGAGCACTGGACAGGTTCTATCTATAAACTTGCTGAAGCATTCTTTTTGAGCCCAAAAAACAAATACTGCATTGTACTCTTGATAATGCAAGCAAAACACTGGCTTTTTTTTCTTACTATTATTATTGGAACACTGCAAACTCGGGCTTGACGTTGTTCTCAGCTGCAACATTTGACTTCTGAGGTAAAAGATGGTGGCAAGCTAAACTAATGTACCTAGCTACTGAAGTAGTAGATGCAGGGTGCATTTCAAAATAACAAAACTACTTTAGCCATAACTAGAAATATCTAGGGGCAGATCACAATGTGGTTTGAAACAGATTATGTAGATTATCTTGTCAGACCTTAGCATCCTGTTTAATAACTAAATAACTACATATTTAGTTATTTATATAAGATCCCTATATAAATCAAACAAGATATTATAGTGAAGGACTTCATAGTAACACTCGGATTTACAGTATACATCAAACATTATTGGTCAAATATGACATTCTGTGCTTTTATAATGCACAAAAGAGCTTCCATTGAGCATACCACTGTGAGTACAGAAGCACATTCCTCCTTCCAAACTTCCCCTCATTTTTAACCACACTGCTCCTCCAAACTGAGAACTTGATGCCTCTGACTAAAGGTCTAAATGTGTGATAAACCTCATGATATGCTCTGAGAGTTTCCGCACCAAATGGTCAAGAAGAAAATAGCCAATCAACTAACTGTCCAGCAATGCTCAGAGAACTTTTTATAAAAGAGGGAAATGGATAATTTTGTATAACAGACACCTGGGTCTGCGTGTACTCCCTGGTCTCCATGCTAATCTCTACTTTCCTTTCGCTCTGGCTCTCAATCTCTCTTCACCTCCTCCTTTTTTCTCCCTCTCTTTCCCTCTTCCATCTCTCATCTCGCTTATCCAAGTGTGCCAAGAATTTCAAAGTCATCATCTTGATGGTAATGCAGAATATGAAAGATATGCCTCTTCTGTTGACATTTCATTATTCATGATAGGCTAACCGTTCTCCTCCTTATGCAAATGGCCATTAATGCTGACATTTAGAAGTCTTTCAATATAGTTTGGTCTACAGAGATAATTCTTAAAAGTCCGGTCCAAATGTCCAGTCTCTTTTTGAAGCAATCTTTAATCCATTTCCTCACATACACATATTGCTGATGTCAGAAATTACCCATGGTTACACAATAAGTCAACACACTTCAACCAACAACCTTGGCATTTCCTCCAATAAACAGCTAATATCGCTTATGGTCACTTCTATTTTCTTTCTGATGGCGACTCCCCATGCCTTCTGCTGTGACGCAGTTATTGGGGTTATTATTACAACAACTCTCATGTTGTGATTTTAGCAATCAGCAAAATTCCTGCAAGTTCTGAATCAGCAGTCCGCGGAGGGTGAAGAAATGATTTCCTTGCAGTCGAGCTGTCATGGCCTGCTGACGCCATCCAGCAACATTCATTAATCACTGGCAAACACGCACGAAAACACTAGATGCCTGCAAGCACACACAGGTCCACTTTGGAGGTGCTTGCTATGAGACTCAGTAAGGCATATTCTTATGACACAAGGTAAAAGGAAGAAGCTATTTTCAGCAGTATATTATTCAATTTGAAACTATAATTCATTGTTGATAATATCAAAATCCGCAACATTTTGTTGAGCATAAGATCCAGTGAGTGCATGCGACATGCTGGCTGACAATATGTGAGTGTAAGCGGTATGTGCAAAGCCCTACAGGCTCTCTACGGTGCCCACAGATGGCTGCAGTGAACATTTGTTCATGCACATCATGTGAATAAAATAACATGCCAAGCTCTGCAGATGCTTCACAAGAGAAGTTTAAATTTTGACAGAAATACTTCAGAACCTCCCATGTGGTTCCACATGTAGACATGCAATATGAGTACTTTTATAGTGGTACGATGGGTAGGTAAAGTAAGCCTTGAATTTGGATTTGCTGCCTGTAGGAGACAGAGATTAAAAACTGTAACTGTATTGCATGAAAGGTGTATGAAGCTTAGCAAAGCCTGAAGGAAACCTCACAACTGTCGCCAAAGCATAGAAAGAAGAAGGTATAAAACGTTTCGATCCCTATTGATCTCAGAAAATTATGAAACATTATGCCATGTTCTAGCACACCTCTTATCTATGTGTACATTTAACACCTGGTTGTTTATAGAACGTTAGAGGGATATCTTTCCGTTGTAGTTTTCCCTAAAATTGACACAAAAGATGTAGTGTGATCAAACCACTACATAGCAAATTTTAGAGGCCACAAGTGAGTATTTGCCACAGAACACAGAGGGAGTGGAAATAACTAAAAACTTACAAGCAAACCCCACTTGACTGCTTTGATCAGAATCCCAATAGGCCAGTTGACAGTTGTGAAGGTTTACTGACTGCTGGAGCTTGGCCAGCTGCTGTAGAGGTCCCTCTGTAGAAGTTTGAATCGTGTGTGTCTGTTGTCATGATCAGTGCAATGCTCAGTTGAACTTTCTGTATTTTTAGGCTTTGTCAACATGTCAGAATCCACCACTTTATATTTGTTTGTCTCTCTCCTTATGCTGCTCAAAAAGGGGACACTGGAACACCCTTTAACTTTTTAGTGGGATTTTTTAATCCAGCCCTCAGTGGATGGATGATGACTGCTGTTGCATCATTTTGTTCTCAGCAAATTGCACAGTGCCTCTCAGAAAAAAATTTCCAACTTAAATATTCACTTTCAACAAGCCAGTGAAGTTCAAAGCAACAGACCGGGTGTGAGTGTGTTTGTTCAGCTCAGCTTCTGAATAAAGTCAGATCTCTATAGTCACTCCAGTTCTTCCTGGTATCTTGCTGTTGTACCTTCTTGTGCTATATGAAACAAATTCATTGTCCTATAGGTGACACATTAATTAGGCCAGGGATACTAGAAAACATTTGGTCAGGTGGAAACATTTTAACTCATTATGATTTCAATTAACCTCCACACAGTAAAACGATGAGCTGCTGAAGCATTAGACATGAAGGTGGCTTCACATCACTGATCTCAGCAAATGAAGCGAATTTTACAAAGGACTCTCCCACCTTTGTTGGCATACTGAACACTGAATCCAGTTAAAAGAAGACATAGTCATGAAGCGCTACTAAATAATTGAGGGAGACATTCTTCACTTATGTCCACATATGAATCGCTTGATGTTACCTGCCCTGCTCTCTACAGGCTGGTGACCGCCTGACAGATTGTATCCTGACTTTCTGCCCCCACCATCTGTGAGACGTGTGCCGCAGACATGCAAGCCAAACCCTCCTTTGTGCGTACTGTCCTCAAACAGAGATGAAAATTGAGATTAACAAAGAAGTGAAAACGACTAATGTGAATAGATGAATGGATGTTTTCATTGCCATCTCGCGTGCTAAACCAAACACGGAGGCACACGGGCCTAAGGCAAACATCAATTTACTGACTTGGGTGTTTGACAAATATCTATTCAAATGGAACATTTATCCGGTCAAGAGAACTGCCTCGAAGCGAACACCTGGTCACAATTTCCAGAAGGATGAATGGGGAAGTTTGGGAAAGCTTTATGCAAAACTCATCTGTCACTTTCCTCTTTGTTCCACTTGCAGCGTTTTTACTACTGCGGCTTCTACGCGGCGGCGCCACCGGGTGAGTATAGCGCAGAGCACGAGCGGGAAGGAACATCAATCACCGCGCGGCCCTCTGACGCAAGTGGCGTCCCATAATTAGATTTCGGGCAGTCCTTTCAATGTTCCCTTGCGAGACGACGTCGCACTACGCTGTACAGTTAGATTGCTCTCCTCACACCGCATCGAGCACTGACTCCTGATTAATGGATGAACCTATCTCCCCCCTCCCCTCGTCGTCTCTCTCTCTGTGCGCATCTTACTGCAGATTTCACTCCGGCTGCTCGTGCGCGCTAAGCGGAGGGGGAAGCTCGGGGTTGCCTCGCCGTGCGTGCACCGACTCGCTTTTTCTATGACCAATGATCGCGTCAGGATAGTAGCACCCCCTACCCCATCACCCCTTCCATGGACACACACACGCATAGCAAAAAGTCGCAGCATTGCTCCACGATGAAAAAAGACTAGACACAAAAAGATATTTAAAAATAATAATAATAATCAATAAAACTTTGGCAGCAGGCAAAAGCTGACACACGCCTCAGAATCTGCTCTGATCATCAAGAAAATGAGGAGCTACTCTGATCAAACACAGTTCTGTGGTGTGGATTTCTAATTCTAAGCACATCTTAAGATGCTCGCGCTGGACGACTTCGAAAGTTGCCCAACTTTCCCGTCAATCATGAGCGCGGAGCATTTTATTTTTTTCTACTGCAATTGTTTTAAGCAGCAGGTGAATACGAAATTTCCTCTTACCGTTAATGACAGTTATCCAGACTAAAGCGTGGGTGATGGAGGAGATGAACTTATAGTTGCTGATATTCAGTGAGACAAATGAATAAATGCTTACAATTTCTAGTGCATCGAAACGAACTCGAAGACTCTGAAGTGTCCGTTCCTTGATTTGCGTCTCTACACGGCCACGGAGGTAGTGAGCAACGAATTAATTCTTTCTTTCTTTTTTCTTTTTTCTATTTTTTTTCTCCTCTTGTCTTCTTCGATGCAGCGGTTTCTCTGCTGCAGTCCAAGAAAGCCCAGGGATGCTGATGGGAGGTAGGAAGCGTGAGTGAGTGTGTGAGTGTATGTGTGTGTCTGTGATGGGGAGCGAGGGGGAGAGGGAGGGTGCATGAGCAATAGGCAGACTGAGATCAATAGTGGCTTTGCATCCTACGGACAATAGTGAGCATTTCCGTATAATAGTCCACGGTACGTATCCGGCGAAGGTTCCGTGACGTGCTACAATCACAAGCTGCTGGGTTTAGACGTAAGATGAGAGTAAGGGAGGGCTGAAATTTGGCTCCCGGGGAGAAGTTTGAAAAGAAGCTGCTGGTTAAAGCTGCAACTTCACTAAAAAACAGTTGTGCAGTGCCTAAATCCTCTGAAGTGCTAATGTACAAAAGCAGCTTCTGTTAAGACTGCAAAATACACCCCAGGTTTATTTTTTTCATGACTTGACCTGTAAAATGTGAGAAAATTATGAGTATACTCTCACCAGCCAATTCATTAGTTATACCTTGATAGTTACTATTGGTTTTGGCTACATAACTGCCTTAATTCCTGATAGTTTTTGGTCCTTTCTGACATGACTTTGTGAAGCCTTCAGGTCTCATCTCCCTCCACCGATTTTCATTTATTTATTTATTTATTTATTTATTTATTTATTTATTTTATTGGACTGATGTCTGGAGACAGCACCAAAGAATAATATTTCTACCTCCGTGCTTAACCATGGGGATGGTGTTTTTTAGCTCATACTCACCATTTCTCTTTCTCCAAAAGGGTGGCTTAAGTTGATGCCAAAAGGCTTGATTTCGGTTTCATCTGACCAAAATAACTTCGCTAAATAATTTAGAAGTTCACTTACAAACAGGTGCTTCAGTCCATCACAGCGTTGTTTTACAGAAGGTGTTCTTAGTGTTTGTGGTCCCAGCTGCCTTAAGATCATTACCAAGCTCCTCTTGTGTCCTTTTAGTCTGATCGACCACCTTTCTCATGATCATCCTCACCCCAAACTTGAGCTAAACATGAGCTAAACATGAGAGGTTTTATGACAAAGTTTGTGTTTTGCATTGTTTAAGCACCGGTTCCAACCAAAGGAGGTATGTTGTATCAACAAAAAAGGTTAACTTGGTTATCATTTTGCAGAAAAAAAGAGACTGCTCCAAATAAAAACATAAGAGGTTTGTGGACAAAGTTTGTGTTCTCCATTCTTTAAGCACCGGTTCGAGCACCGTTTAAGCACCGGCGCCGTTTCAAAAGTTCTGGTTTGGCACCGGTATCAGATAAAACCTAAACGATACCCATCCCTACACAAGACCATCTTTTTGATCTTGCCATGGTGATGGAGGCTTGATTGTGAAAATAACTTCATCCACAACACAAGGTTAGTGTTTAATATGTTGCTGCATGGCTTTAATTACTTGTCTTAGGTCCATACTGAAATTTTACTTAGCCATGTAGGCATTCCTTTTTGAGGTGCCTCTGAAAGCACCTTCACCAGCACTTGACCTGAGGCTAGTTTTTCCTGTACTAGATCAGTTATTATGTTAACAGAGATAGCCTAAGGTGAACAAATGAAACTACTTTCTACCATGGGTGTCTGACATTGCACTGGAGCCATCAATCCCACAGACTTAACAGTATTTTGTTTCTTATTAAGAGCATTACAGTCAGCTATGAAATCACCTTGCTTTTTATCATAAAAACAGATCATTCAGAGTTCCCACTGCTAGCATTCAGAGCTTTTATAATTGACCTTGAAGAAACAGAACCTTTCTGGCTAATTTTAGAATACAGTACAAGAGAAAACATAGCTTTTAGTTTCATGTTTGTCACTGAGAGCTACTTTATCAACCGCCACAGGAACATAATTTCTAAATTCCTCAGTAAGAATTCAAATGGCTGTTTTAACAACCTTGTTGGGGTGTTCTTTTCCTGGACACATAGCAACAATGATGTTCAAGCATATTTAGGCCATTCTAAAGGTTTTGCTACACACTAAGAATGGGAAAGTATCTTTCCACATCCTTTTCAAAAAAAATCTTGTGAACACATGGACAGATCTTCTGGTGCCTGAACCTTTGTTTGTTCCATCTTGCTATTAAATCACATAAAAGACCTCAATTTCACCTTCTCAACAGACTGACTATTTATATTCATATCTCATTTTTCCTATGAGAACTAGACCAGTTTCAGTGTGGCGTTGCTCTGCAAAGCCACAAGCTGTACTTTGGTTCAGCAAAAAAAAAAAATTCTGTTGTTAAAGTTTCATAGAACTTCTCAATTTTTGCCAATATAAAACAGGTGACTACAACAAAACTTACAACTTCCTGTTGAGGCAACACAAACCACCTCTCCTTTGATATGCTTTTAACACATCCACAGAGACACCAAAGCCCACAAACACAGAACTGGTTTTATGTTACCAACATATACCTGCACAAAGCCAAGAGTAAGCAACCGAAGATAGTTAGCACCCGTAGCAGTTACTCAAGACTGTTTTATCCCACAGAGTTTATATATGATTAGGACCATTGCTACCTTGACACTAGCAAATAAAATTCAAAGACTAAACACTAATTATCTTACAACACTAAAGTACACTACACTACACTTATATTGATGAACATTAAGCTTCTCCTGCAAACAGAATGTGTTAGGCTAATCATGTTAGAATACCTGGGTCTTGACCCAGAGTTTTGAAGTTTTGCATGATTATTTAACTTTGATTTTGTCATTATTTATCATTTCTAGTCTTTTGGGTTCAATGTTAGAGTTTTTAGTCTTCTGGTTTCTGTCTTTGTTCCATAGTTGCTCCGTCTGCCCCTGTCTGCTCGTCAAATCCGTGTCTCTGTGTTATGTTTCCTGTTTTACTTTGAAAGTCTGTGTCTCACGTCAGTGTTTTTAGTTTGCTTCCCTTGTCTTGTTAGGTATGATTTGTCCCAGCTGTGTTTCCCTCCTGTCCCCCATTCCCTGTTTGCTCCCTCTGTGTATTTAAAACCTGTGTTTTTCTTGGTCTATGTTGTGATTTGCATCATACCTCACTGTGTGTTCCATCTGTCTGCCTTAGTTTATTTGTATTGTTCAGTTTTAATATTGGACACAAGGAAAACTAACTAATAGTTTTCCTTGTGTCCAATATTAAAACTGTATTTTGAGTTCACCTTTTTTGCCTCCGTTAGTCTGCACTTTTGGGTTCAGCATTCCTACCTGCACAGAGTACATGACAAATCAAGTCTCATAGTGTGGTATTTTTTATATCACAGGTTCATGTATAGAGTTTTCTCATCAGAGTAACTCAATAAGCAAATGCATTTGACAACACGGTAAAGATGTTGGTGGTTTCCTGTCTTATCTTAGAAGAATATTGGATTTCAGCATAACATCTATTCATTCAGCAAATGTTGTTTTGTCTCTTCCTTTTTTGCTTCTATATTTCACAGCTGACTGCACTTTTTGATTACTATGTTTTTTCTTTCAAATCATTAAAGACGTTACTTTTAAATGATTTATCATATAAGTTCTTTATTTTTTTAAATGTGTATTTAAATAAATGTTGGTGTTTCTTGGGTGAATAATTTAGAGTAATCAATAACTTTTGCAGTTCAAATGGTTAATGAAGAAGATGTGTTTATGGCTGCAAGGATTTGTTTGTTTGTTTGTTTGTTTGTTTGTTTGTTTGTTTGTTTGTTTGTTTGTTTGTTTGTTTGT